AAGAAACTCGTTAAAAAAATTTGACACGGCACAAATAACAGGCGCCATCTTGGACTAAACTTGTCTCGCGTTTTAATCGCGTACCTGACCCTCCTTCTTTACAAACAAATTATACTGCTAATATCATTAGTTAACGAGACACGATGATGCATTGCGTCACTTCTCTTTAACACCTCAGTTTTCAAGTTGTTTCAGATGAACGTTGATGTTTGCAATATATCTAAAGTGAGCTAGTAACGGGAACTTACACAGTTCTTAAGGAAACAAAATTTGTACGTCAAAGCTACTTTATATGCAAAAATATAACAGTAATTATTGCATCAAAATTTTCTTAATTTACAAAAATTAAACTTATGAAAAGTGTGTATTAAAATTTACAAATATTAAAATTTACAATAACATTACAAATTTATATAATATATATCATACTTCTGTTTTACAATTTTATGTACGTTTTCACAGAAATTAAAAGCTCTCTTAATTTACAAAAAAAAATTGTTAATTACTGTATGCAATATTGTTCGTAACTTCTAAAAATATAATTTACAGGTTATAATTTAAAGAATAATCTACTGTTCACACTCTCCAGTTTATTTTATTTAAAAATGTTTTTAAACCATAAAATACATCAGAAAAATAAATGTTGTTATTTTTAAAAATTCCACAAATTCACTCCTACATTTATTTTTCACTCCTTTAATATAAAAATTGGAACGAATCCAAATAATTCTTACAAAGAAACAATTCTTGGTACATTTCTAAGAAGCAACGATTAACGACAACAAAAACACCCATCAAAATGAAATAACAATTACACAGTGGAGATATTGGAATACTTAGCCCGTTGAACAAAGGTGATCTTGGTCACCTAAAGAAAAGGTTAATCGCCGCCCATTGTTAGCAGTTCGAGCGAAAAAATTCCGACTTAAAGTTCAGGAAATGCTTATGTTTCACGATGGAAATGCACCTCCGATTTGAAGTCGGATTAATTAACCGTGATAGGACGGCTTGGAAAGGTCGAGCTAAGCTACTCGTAGTTCATCAACAAAATTCAAGTGGGACTCGAACGATTCGATATTATCGAGTGGCTGCAGACCCGTGTAATTAACAGAAGTTACGATAACGAAGGGCAGATTCTCTGATAAGCAGAAAAGTTGTACAATTATGAAATTGTTGTGCAATTATGCCTGAACAAATCGGTGAAAGCTTCGTTATTTTAATTGTGCTGCGTTAACACGCTTTCGTTTCCATAAGATGGTTGCAACAGGGAGGAAAATTGTCAAAGCTGTTTTTAAATTCCAATAGTTTATATTAAGAAATTTATCTTTGTTAATTATTATTTATTTCTTGGTTAAGCTTATAATATTGTTCATATGTGGTTATCTGAGAAAAATATACAGTTTAAATGCTTATGTACCATATGAGTACTTACATTATGTATAACCTTAGTATGTTGTGCACATGTTTGAATGTATTGTTTTAAAAGTTCAATGTATTTTACAAGTTGAATGTATTTTACAATTTGAATATATTGTATATAATTTCAATTATAACAATAATTGATTGCCTAACTAATTCAATTATAATTATAAGTGGCTTGAAACCTTAAAGGATTAATACACGAAACGCGTTAAATGCGTAGAATTCCGGCAGCCATGTTTCCCGAACAAACATGGCGGTCTAATCCGCGACGAATTCATACGCGTCATATTACCAAAGAATAACAAACGGGATTCAGCAATTTTCGTTTAAATGTAATTACACAAACTGTTGAAAGGTACACAGAGCGAGAGTACATTCAGGAGGCAGAAAATCAATAGACGATCTTAAACTCGGGGCTAAACGCTTTCCTCATGCGATGTAGAAAGCTTAAGAGTTTAAAGAAAATTTATGCACGCAATATTTCTGTCAAACAACGAGAGTAAACAGAAGACTCAAATGAACGAGATGCAACGATACTGATAAATTGTGATATTTATATGTAGATATTTTTGTATAAAAATAAGGTCTATGATTATCGGGCATTACTTTTATTCACGTAGTTTGCATATTTTGTACATTCACAGCAATTTATTTTGCTGGTTTATTACGTGGAGTTTACATATTTTTTGCATAGTGTATAGATGTATAAACATACGTAGTGAACATTTAAATGACATTAACTGCGGACTAACAAATGAAGTAGAAATTACATTGCCTGAGGATATTCGGAAGAACAGATAAAATACTTTTGTAATATCATACTGTTTGCAGTTTTATTATAATGTTCCACTATCTTGGGATGATTGCAACTTTCTTTCGAATTTCGTTTTGGAAAGTTTTTCTTCTTTGATCAAAGATTAACTAGAAACTTTCAACAATTTACTGATCTTTACCATTTTCTGCCAGTTTTATATTTTACAAGATATTATAGTTTTTTATAATTTTCAAGAAATTATAATTTTATGTATTTTTTCAGGAATAATAAATTTTATATATTTTTCTAGGAATAATAAATTTTATATATGTGCCAAGAAGTAATAATTTTATATATGTGCCAAGAAGTAATAATTTTATATATTTTGCAAGAAATATTGTTTTATACATTTTTCAAAAAATAATAATTTTATATATTTTCCCAGGAATAACAAATTTTACATACATATTTTCTAAGAAGTAATAATTTTGTATAATTTGCAAGAAATATTGTTTTCTACATTTTTCAAAAACTAATTATTTTATATATTTTTCTAGAAATAACAAATTTTACATATTTTGCAAGAAGTAATAATTTTATATAATTTGCAAGAAATATTGTTTTATATATTTTCCAAAAAATGTTGTTTTATGAATTTAAAAAAAAATATTGATTTTATATATTTTTTCCAGGAATACAAAATATTATATGTCTCCCAAGAAATAATATATATTTCAGAAGAAATAATGATCTGCAATGTCCACCTTATATTCTGACCCAGATCCAGTTTCCTATGCGCGTACCTTCTCTCCGATTTTCATAGAATTATTTTATGATGTACTTTATAATACCGTACATAAGTACATGTATATATCCCTATAGAATATCGTTTGTCCCAAGGGTTCGGATTTGGCATTTTCTACCTCTTTCGTACATGTAATTTCGAAATTCATCGTGTCTCTGCTCGAGGCTCTGTGGTTGAACATCTTTTACGGCTGACGGCTGGTATTCCTTTCTGGGTCTTTCTCTCAAACCGCTTCGAACCGAATGTGGTTTTTCGTGTTCTCGTATAGAAAAGGACGCGGTTTCGTATTGATGTCTGACAGCATCTTGATTTACCGTGAATTCGTTTCATTTTGCAGATCAATTTTCAGTATCCATTACTTGTCTCGTGTGGTCATTCTCATCTACGGATTTGATTATACGCTACGTGTTTTTATTACCGGAAGGAACAAGTAAACTCACCCAGCGCAAGAAGACTGATTAAGTCGCAACTTCAGCGATTGTTTAATGAAACTGCATTGAAAATAATGCATTTGTCCCGTGAATTCTGTTATTACTTGAAATACGTTGTTATTAGTAAAGTGACATTCTCCTTCGAGTTTAATGAGCTTCCGTATACTAATAGGTTATGTTGCCTTCCATTTTGTAACTCTGCTCTTTCAGATCTTTCGCTACCCGTTGTGACATTATACCTTTGAGAACTTTTAGTGTTATTAAAATTTGTAATGGAAGTATTAACAGTTTTGTTTCCATGATGTTATATTTTCCGAGAAATGTTTTATATAGTTTTCCAGAAATAATCTGTCCACCATGACAAACATTTATTATATTATTTTGATGTAACAATACAAAAATTATTTTACATGGCATTTTTCTAAAAGTACATCTAGCTCTTGAAAATATAAGTAGAGTAGCAACAGCATGATCTACAAATATGTCATACAGTGTACATCACATCAATATGTCATACTAATGTCACAGCAATGTTTCAGCTGCAGCAGTAAAATAAGTAAATTTAAAAAAAAAATTTAGTACTTGAAATGATTTCTAAAATGAATTGTTTACAATCAATATATAAAGAGGCAGCACATATGTCACACATGTGTATCAATATGTCATACTAAAATAAATTAAAATGAAACAAAATGTCAGCATTCCTACATTTTGAAAATGATTCTCAACAAAAATTCAACAAATTGTCAGCAACATTTGCTTACATCATTCATATGTGACTCATATGTGATTTTAATGACCTATCATTTAAGTCGAACATCCAAATTAATTAAATATGAGCTCGAAATATTCGCAGTGACATTGAAATGAATTTTCAATCCCTAAATGTCCTAAAGCTGGTTTTCAGAAATTTTTTATTTTTAAAGAGGAAATAAAACGTATGTGGTACACATGGAACATCAATACAGTCAATAGATGTCAACCAATGAATAGGTTTCTAGGGATTTTCATTGGGAATCTTCTTGTATAGGTACTCTTATGCAGTTCGAATGTCGTTATAAAAAGTTCTTTTCAATGGAATTTTCTGTCTTTGAAAGCAAAAGTATTCAAAGGACCAAATTAAACATAGAAAATGCTGCACTATAGGAATTCGAGAATCGTTCCACATGAACGAATTATGCTGATTTAGGTATTTTGGTATACACAGCAAATATTTATAAAAAATATGTGCACTTTAAAATGATCAAAAAAGTTTCTGCCTAGAAATTCTAATATTTTGTCACACATGAGCAAATAAATGCAATCAATAAAATTATCGAAAACATTTCTCATAATTGCAAGTTTTTTACCTCCTCAAAATTTTACAATTTGCAAACTTTCCTATGTTTACATTTTTTAGACAAAAAACATATGTTTGTTATTACTTTTTATTTATACAATTTATGGGAATGCATTATTAATCAAAATTATTTTGTAAAATTGAAGAAGTCATGCAACAAAAATTTTTGGTGTCACAAGCAAGAAATATTGAAGATAGCAAGTTTGAAGTAGCTAGTCGCTAATTATATTAATTACAGATTGTACTTACTGTAGAGCTTGATTTTTCCATCGGTTTCACCTAACGAGTTAGTTGCCACACATCTGAAGGATCCAAAATCTTGAGGCCGTACAGACTTGATGGTGAGCCTCATGGTTATTTCGTATCCGTTTGGTATTGTTTCTACTTCATAGTTGTTATCTATGCAACAGAAATACCAATAACTTTTACAATATAATACAAGTATATTTTACAATATATTTCTTTCTGAGATATTTCTTTCCAGCATTTAGTCCATTATCATCTATCTGTTCATTTACCAAATATTTAACTATTCCCCACCCGATTTATAAAAACATCCCAAAAATTAAATAAAACAAACACCGATAACGTTTCACATAACTAATTATTACGTTCTAATTTAATAACGAATATCTGCAATGATACTATAACATATGATACTGTTACGATGATATTTCTGATCCTCAATTTACAATATAATAATTAATTTCAAAGAGCAAATATCGGCATCGTAACGTAATAACGGTCGGTTTCAAATAACAAGAAGTCGGTTGATGGTAAGCCAACTATTTATGTGCGGGGTCGCTTAGGCGTTATGAAATTGCGCAAAGTGGATACACCAGCGGCCATGTTATTCGTGAGAATATCATTTTCGCTGCAGCGCAGGTGTCGTATACGTTGGACGTCCATGGTGTTTATTCGCAGCTATAACACTGACAATGCGGAACAGCAGACATTGAACTTATTTGCACCATAGACTTATCAAGACACGTTTCGCGCTGAACGCTCGGAATAATTTTGCTGTGCTACACCGTTCTTTCCTTTATTTGTACACTAGATTCGTCCGACACAGTATCCCGATGTTTGGCCCATATATTTCGTTGTAAAAACATGCAACGTAAAGGCAACACGCGTTGCTTTAGTCAGTTACCACCTTTTAAAACATGTATGCTATTTTGTGGATGTGTAAGTTGCACACGTGTGAACAACGCACCAGTTCACATTTGAACCGATCTTTTTTGACAGACTTTCCGACGATAAATAATTTAATTAAATACTTGAGTATGTAGCATGAAGTGTTACGCTAAATTAGACAAATGTTTGACAAAGTTTGTCAAACTTTAGTATGATGAGTAAAATCGGAAAAAGTGTTATAACGAATTGTTATCGACTTTCAATTTAACCGTTGTTTCACGCAAATTGTTTAATGTAAAGACAACATCACGCGTTACTTTAGTCAGCTACCACCTTTCAAAACATGCAAGCAATTTGGTGGATGTGTAAGTTCGATGCACACATGTGAACGGCGCACCAGTTCACATTTGAACCGGTCTTTTTTGACAGACTTTCCGACGATAAATAATTTAATTAAACGCTTGAGTATGTAGCATAAAAACTGTTACATAAAATAATACAAATGTTTGACAGAGTTACTAAAATCGAAAAAAGTATTATAACGAATTGTTATCGACTTTTAATTTAATCGTTGTTCCGTGGTTATTATTTAATGGATCCATGTTTCGTTCTATACAGTTGCGTGTCATTTCTATAAATACTGGTCAGTTTTTCACGAGGTTGCATGGACGATCCACTACCTTTAATTAAACATTTCGTTTCAACTCTGTCGGAAATTGCGTTTCATTTTTCATGAAAAACGGAGTCATACGTGTCTTCGCACGAACCAACTTGTATGGTGAATAAAATAACTGATAATATTTGCCTTTCGCACACTGATACAGTACTATAACTCACGAGAGTATCTGCAACTGTGTGTTCTACGTTTCTGCAAGTTTCATGAAAACCTAGTTATTCTGGCAGCTCTATTGTTGCAAATTTTTGCATTTTTCAGCTAATTATCTTTATTACATGGACGAAATTAAAAATTCTGCTTTATGCATAGTTTTGATTCCCGTCAGCAATAATTCGGCGATATACATTTATATGAGAAACACATACATTTATATGACAAAAATGATTATGTGAAGTATATGAATTTGTGTAATAATAAAAATATACTAATTGTGCAATTTGTAATATTTGCAATTTTTGGAGGGTAAAGTAAAAGTCCATCAAATAATTTATGCTGAATTTATAAATAAAATAAATTGTAAAATTAGTGTGGAGCATAAAAAAAGTTCTACATAAGAAAATTGTTTAATAATTATTTTTGTTTCACGTGTCAGCACAATATGAATAATTTTGATAAAAGTGCGTTATGCAATATAATATATTGTTCATAATGAAATATTTGAATAATCCATTAAGGTTTCCTTACCGTGTTGCATTGTGGCCACCGACAAATTTAATATTTCAACGAAATTTCTTTAGAACCACGAAGGGCGTAAAACAGTTTTGTACCTGTTGGTGACAGGAACGTGAAACATTTCATTTTAGTTAATAATTATCGACATTTTTTAGCTTGTCGCGATTTGGTGTCATATATGTGATAATTTGAGTTATGAGGACGTTTTGTAAAGGACGCAAGGAGGTAACGAGTGGAAATGTGAGGCATCAAAATTGTTAATTATTGATTGCTTATAATTTATTGTTATGTTATGGACTGGTAGGTGATCTCTTTGCGGCGCGGGGGCGCTTTATGTGTCCCTGTGGTCGACAAGCCGTGGCTAGGGGGGGCGTTCTACGTCCCTCTGAGGCCTCCATGAAGCCCCGTGAAGGATGATGCTTTGCATCTGTGAGGGATGATGCTTTGAGGGATGATGCTTTGCATCTCCTGTTGTGAGGGTCGACGGACGGAAATTACTTCGGTAATTTTCCGAGACGTACAGGCTAACCTAAGAGCAAAGCCACCAGGATTTTGAATCGTTCTCGGATCGATATCGTCCGTAGTGGGGGTAGGACCACGTGACTCAGCGGGGTCCGTGCCGCTACGGATCGAGTCGCTCTTATCATTCGTTCGTTCGTTCGTTCGCTCGATAGACGCCTCGCAATTCGATCGTACTTACGCCCTTGCCTCGCCTCTTTGAAACTATCGTTAAAATCATTTTCCAAGATTGATTCCTTTGTTAATTAGTTTATTGTGATTTCACGTTCCTTATTTTGTCAATTATTATTCGTTTTCCAAATTAATTCGTATTATTTAACGCATATTATTCGAAATTGTTTATAGTGTTCAATATTATTGTATATTATTGTACATATTATTCTTATCGTTAGTGTGTTACGAATTGTATATTTGTGTTTATGAATAAATATATTTAATCAATCCCAATTCGATTTGTTTTTCTGTTATTTCCCTTACGTTTTCAACAGTACCTTTTCACGCTATTTTTTCATTTTTACGCTTTCATTCGCGTCTTTCTTGTCGTTTGTTTCATTCAACTTAATCTGTAAGTTTAACGAGTTTCTGTCACGCCACGGGCAACTTTCTCGCGCTTAGAACCGGTCGACGTATCAATTAATGCAGAAATAAATGTTTTTTCGCGGTAATTATGCCCGGTAATAATTCGTGGACGAAAAGAGGCGAATGCGCCACGGTGTCACTGGCGTATTATACGTTTCATCGAAACCGTGTTATCAATTAACGAAGTTAGGGTGGAGCTACATGCAACGCTTCCCTTAACCTTTTGCACGTACGTACACTTCTTAACTCACCCTTCAACAACTGTTACGAAGAGTCTCAGCCACGTTTAATGCGAAACAATGATATTAGAGCGAAACAATGGTGTTGGGGGAAACTACATTAGCATTACCAAAACGTGAACTTCGTATTTGTTGCAGGATTATTGGAACACTGAATATTGAATTTTGCTGTTCTTAATTTTTCCATTTAGCGATGTTTTGATTGAAGATTAACTCTTGTTTCCTTTTCAAGAATAGAGGGCTTTGACAATCTGTATTTGATAAATATTTATTTTGTAACACATGTTCAAATATTCTGTTAAATATTTATTTTGTAGCACGTGTCTGTATTTGTATTTGTTTCTGTTAAATATTTATTTGGTGGTATTTCTATTTATTTCCATTAAAAATTTGTTTAACCACACTTTTCAGTATTCATGTCTCTGTTAAAAATTTATTTGATAACACATTGCTTTATTTTTATTTCTTTTTCTTAGTTTGTATTTATTTCTGTTTATTTCCGCTTCACAGGTGGCTGAGGTTCAATATTACTTTTCTGTACTTGTATTTAATTCTATCAAAATTCTGTTGTTGAGGGGTTCTTAAATATTTTAAAATAATACTTCAATTTCTATTCGATTTTGCTCAACTATGGTTTTCGATCTTAATATTTATTCTTTTATATGCAGAATTTCACTGATTCTTTGATTTCTTCTGGGAATAAGAAATTAGAGAACCGATTTGATTTCTGAGAACTGAGTTGAAATGAATCTTAATTCTAAGTTTTAATGGCGTCGGTGTTCGACAAGTGGCGCCACTCTTCGGTTATTTACGAAACTTTTCCTAATCCCAATCGTAATACGTTCACTGAACTTTTCTTATCCTCTACAGCTAATTCTACAAACTAAATAACCTATATTTTTATGACTAATTAGATCATTTATTTTATAAAAGCTATTCTGAAATTGCAAATGGCGAACAATCATTTTCACATTGAATATTAATATTGTATGTATGTGAATTGATATATGAATATTGATTGTATGTGAATATTTTATTGTTGTATTATTCTTGATTGAAATACATATATAGTAATTCAATAATTATGAATTAAGTCGAAGATAGAAATTTCTGAAACTTATTTCTAATATATGTACTTTCACTTATTTTTAATATATCCACTTTCACTTATTTCTAATATATCGAATAGAAGTTTCTTTCAGATTTAATTTTAAGAAAAGAAGTTGCTGTAAATAAAATGTACATACCATTAGCAATTGTCTCGTTCGTCGGTCTTGTCCAATAAGTAATTGGTCTAGGATGAGCTTCGCTTCGACATTCCAGAGTAAGTCTCTGATCCTCATAAGCTCCAACCAGTTGGTTCTCAATCCATACCATTGGTTGAACTGCAAAACACAATTTATTGATCTCATAACACTACATACCTCACAAAGAAAACTATCAAAGAAGATTAATTTTAAAAAATAACCATTGAAAACTATAAACAATCCGTCTCCTAATAACTGAAATGAATTTCATTCACTTGGAAAATTTAATAAACCACAAAAATGGCGTCCTGGTCTGCCGTTAGCGCTTCTGAAGATGAATATAAATGACTTTCGCTATGTTTTTACTTTTCATTTTACTTTTAGATACGTGTCAAAATAACTTGAGCAAAAAGCGTATGGCTTATGACCTCGTTTGGCAAGAAATTTTAATGTAACTTTATTTCAAACTAAATATGGGTTAACATTTAACAGGTTAGATATAAAAATGCTTGATACATTTTTATTTGGGCTAATGACCATGGCAGTCGATGCCCATAACACTAATCATCATCATCATCATTTTTATTTTTTTGAATATCTGTCCTACATTATTTTCAACTGTACATTTTATTATTATGAACATATTTTTATTGTCATGACAAAATTTCATTACTGAGAAAGTATTTATATTTTCTTATTTATTTTACATTTTTATTTTTTTGAAATGTCTGCCTCTTACATTACTTTTAACTGGACCACATATTCTATTATTATGAACATATTTTTATTGTCATGACAAAATTTCATTGTTGTGAAAATATTTATACTCTTATCATATTTTTATCACTGTGACAATATTTTTATTTTTATGGCAATATTTTTATCGACGTGACAATTTTTTTTACTATAATGACAATATTTCTTTTTTATCATTATGACAAACTTTATTATGACAAACAATCATTATAGCAATGTTTATAATATTAAGATGTTTTATTATTGTGACAATTTTATTCTTATCACTGTGACAATATATTCTCGTCATTACAACAATATTTTTATAATTACAACAAAATTTTTACCACAACAAAAATAGTTTGTATTATAGCACTGTTATTACTGCTCTAATCACAGTCATGATTGATCACTAAAACTGTCGATGCAACGAAATTATGTAGTCATTAACCAGACAAAAAAATGTAATAGCTATTTCGCGCGAAGGAATTTGCTGTAGAGCACCGTTGAATGGAATTCTCTCGCGAAATCTGAATTTTAAATCTGCAATTTCTATTTTAATCAATCAGTAACAAAGTCGACAGGTCGGTTCGTGACAGCGCAGCTTCGCCGGCAGCAGAAAATATTTAAGGTGTTACTTCAGAACCGCAAACAATGGTCCCTTGCAACCGTCATTCACGAACCCCCAAGTGGGGTTATTATCGTCCGCTTTCACGAAAAATCCACTGTTACGTTGCCGAGATCTTAAATTGCATTTTTGAACACCTTCTGCATAATGCGACCTTATCACCTTTAGTCAATTTCTGTTCATAAATTATAATCTCTGATGATAGCTCGTTGAATCATACATTTTTATGTACATTATTGACCACCGACAAAGGTCTTTAAGTATTGAGTCTTAAACAATACGTCGACGTACGTTTCATAACCTACAAATTTTCTGTAAGTTATATGGGTATGGTATAAAACTTTCATAATATAGGAAACTAGTTCAAAACTTTTTGCAGTCAAAAGGTCTTAGAAATATAAATTCATGAATTCTTAGGGGATGATTTACACTTTATAAGAATGAATACTTTGGAAGGTTAGAACATTGCATGGTTGGGACTTTGCAAAATCAGAACTTTCGAAAATTGGATTTGGATTTGGTTGATTTGGAATTTGGAAGATAGAAAGTTAAGAAGGTTGAATGATCGAATTTAGAATGATTGAAATGTGCAAAGGTTAGAACTTTCAAAAATTGGAATTCAGGAACGTCAGGACATTGGAAAGTTGAAACTTTGGGTGATTCAAACTTTGGAAAGTGGGGACTTTGGGAGGTTAGAATTTTGCAAGGTTGGGACTCTTGAAGGTTGGAATATGGGGAAGGCTGGGACTTTGGAAAGTTGGAACAGTGGAAGGTCGCAACTTTGATTGAACCTTGGGATGATTCAAACTTTGGAAGGTTCAAACATTGCATGGTTGGAACTAGGGAAGGTTAGAACTTTGGAAGGTTGAAATTTTTCAAGTTTGGAACTTTGGAAGGTTAGAATCTTGGTAGGTTGGAACTTTGAAAGGTTAGAACTTTGGAAGATTGGATTCTTGAAAAGTTGGGACTTTGGAAGGTTAGAACTAGTGAAAGGTGAAATTTAAAAAGGTTGAAATCAATGAATATCGAAAGTTTGGAAGATTATAACATTAGAAATTAATAACCTTGCAAGGTTGAAACTTTGCAAGATTGAAACTTTGGAAGGTTAGAACTTTGGCAGATTGGAACTTTGGGAGGTTGGATCCTTGGAAGGTTAAAACTTTGAAAGGTTGAAACTTGAGAAGTATAATAATTGGTGTGCGACCGTTCGAGTCAATACTACCGCCAAAAATATGTATGAGGCATCCACTTTTCTATTCTGATCAATTGAAGCTCTTCTGAACACGTCAGCCTCCTCACGCGCCAACTAGTGTATTGGCATCAGTATATCGTGTCTATTAGACTATTCGAGAAGTTATGTTTAGAATATCCGAGAGAAGAAAATTAACAGTAAATTGCAATATATGCACAAAATATTTTAATACAAAGTTAAAACTCAGTTTCATGGTTAGTTTTCATGGTAAAAAAAATTCTGGAAACGAGTTTTGATAGTATATAACCTTGTTCCTAATATTTCCAGGTGAATGTGAGTATTATTGAAATATACTATTTTAGGAGCTACATTATATAATTAGTACTGAAATATAGTCTTTAGTGTTGAAAAAATGATATTTTAGTCAAGTTTTGCTATTAAGTAAACTGCTGCGTTTCTTAAACTTGTAATAGTCCGCCATTTTATAATTCATGGTGCAGTTAGGGACTGTAGATGGCGCCATAGAGTTGTTAAATATGACACATTAGAATCGTGTTGTACTTAAAGATTGCATAAAAATTTACTGCGTTCAATAGATACGATATGACATGGAAAAATTAAACAAAATGTCCAATCGGTGTGCTTACCACTCGAGTCAATACTACCGCAGAAAATATGTATGAGGCGTCCATTTTTATATTCTGACCAATTGAACTAGCTGTTCTGACTACATCCTCCTCTTGGCGCACTAACTCATGGGTTGACATCATTACATATTTGAAACATTAGTCACGACAACTTTAACTTCGCAATTTTCTATTTTTCAATTTTATATTTTTTATTAATTTCTTCCATTAGCGAAAATACTATAAATTACCACACTTGTATTATAAGTGAGATTCGTTTATTTAGTGAACAAAACGTTTTGTGTTATTTTTGATTGCATAATGTATGCAACAGCAATGGTGGCGATGTGTGGCACGCGTGCCAGAGATGGCGCGTACGAAAATTTAGCTAGCACGTCAACAATTTACGGATTATTTGTGCACGCTCATAAATTAGTCGAATATTTTCTTTTAATTGGTACAGTATCTCCGAATAGTACTTTCGTTGCAATATGTTCAAATAAAACTTGCTCCAAATAGAAGTTAAACAAGTACAATTTTTGCCCGCGCAATTTAAATTAACATTTCTCAAAAAATTAACATGTTGCAAAAATAATAAAATAGTCTTCTGTAAAACGTTTTATATTAACAAAGATTTGAAAAATTTTGTAGAAATAAAGTGCCGTATTTATCATTATTTTCATTATTTTCATTATTTTCATTATTTTCATTATTTTCATTATTTTCATTATTTTAAGAAAATATTGATGATGAAAAAATATTTCACGAAAACCTCGAAAGTCATAAGACATTTCACTAAAATACTAAAACCGACTCAATAAAATATCGAAAGCGAAGAAATATTTAAAAAAAACATACGAAGTAAAAAAATACAACCAAACAAAATCTGTCCCCTTCATCTAAAATTTTGAAGTAGATACACTTCTCAATGCACTAAAGAAACAGTAAACAGTAAGTGAAAGCGGAATAAAACGAATACTCGGTATACCAGAGTTCAACATAACGTGATATTGCACCGAAAATTTGGAACACAACCTCTGCTTACGTTCATATTGAACAGAGGAATCCTTCCACGAGTACAAATGAAACCGTCGAGATGTGTATGAGATCTGTCGATATTGTTTTTAGACCACGCTCGAGTTAAAATGGAGTACGAGTGGTACAGACAACCGCTTACCTAAAATGGAGCACACCGGTCCTGTAATAATTCAGTGCTATGCTGATTTTGGGTATACCGTCATAATACGAGCTTATTTCGTAGATTGCATTTCGAAGAACATGATCGCGCTTTTGTCAATTCAAGAATGAGGGCAAATATACGTATGATAGAAATAGGAAGATGATAAAATAAAAATGGAGAAGAGAAAAATAATGGAGGTTAGGTACTCAGATAATTAGTAATATTAGTGCTTTGAGAATTTGGATATTTAGGAATTTTGGTGTTTTCGTGATTTGGTTATTGAAGAATTTTAGTATTTTGAGAATTTGGATATTTAGGAATATTAATGTTTTGAGAATTCGGATTTTTAGGAATATTAGTGTTTTGAGAGTTTAGATATTTAGGAATATTGGTTAGGTTAGGTTAGGTAAGGTAAGATTTGGTTATTTAGGAATGTTAGTATTTTGAAAATTTGGATATTTAGGAATATTAGTGTTTTCAGAATTTGAATATTTAGAAATTTTGGTGTTTTGCAAGTTTAGTTATTCAAGAATTTTAGTGCTTTGAGAATTTGGATATTTTGGAATTTTAGTATTTTGAGAATTTGGATATTTAGGAATATTAATGTTTTGAGAATTCGGATTTTTAGGAATATTAGTGTTTTGAGAGTTTAGATATTTAGGAATATTGGTTAGGTTAGGTTAGGTAAGGTTAGATCTGGTTATTTAGGAATTTTAGTATTTTGAAAATTTGGATATTTAGAAATATTAGTATTTTGAGAGTTGGGATATTTAGGAGTATTGGTTAGCTTAGGTTAGGTAATGGTTAGGTTTGATTATTTAGGAATTTTATTGTTTTAAGAATTTGGATATTTAGGAATATTTGCATTTTGTGAAACTTGATATTTAAAAATTTTGTTGTTTTGCTAATTTGATTATTTAGAAATTTTAGTGTTTTGAGAATTTGGATATTTTATTATTGCTTTGAGAATTTGGATATTTAGAAATTTTGGTACTTAAACTTTGGTTATTTAAGAATTTTTATATTTTGAGGATTCTACTAGCTAAATATTGCAAATTTATGCTTTCGAATGCAAATTTGGGAGATTTGAAAATTTTACAATTTCAAACTAGGGAAACTTCAAAACTTTAATTTAGACAAATTTTTGAAGAATTATTAAATTTACCAATTTTATAACATTTTCTTATAGAATATCTAGAAATTTAGAAAGTATAAAATTTGAGAAGCTCAAAAAATGAATTCGTGAATTTGAAAGCTAAAATATTTGAAAATATGTAAATTTATAAGTTTGTAAATTGTAATAATTAAGAATTTGGAAATTAATGAATTTGAAAATTGAACTACTTGAGAATTTGGAAATTTATAAATTTAAGAATTGATATACGTAAGGATTTGGAAATTCATGAATTTAAGAATTGAAATACTTAAGGATTTAAAAATATTAAAAAAAGCTAATAAAGCAATAAGTCTACAATAAACAAGGTCGCAATCCCATAAATACCATTCCACCCCAATAAATTTGCACATTATGCATCGCATAATTATGCATCCCACAAGTTGTCAATCACCAACAACACAAACATCGATCCACACGCCATCTTATCACACCTCCACAGTACATTTCAACTACTTACAATGAACGATGAGTACAATTCGTTTGCTGACCGCAGGTGGCACACCGTTCGACGCTATGCAGAGATAAGGTCCCATCTGAAGACGCGTGACTCGTATTATTTCCAGTTCCGGTCCCTGAGCCACTGCAAAAAATAATAAAAACCATAGCAATTACCCAGATGCACGTATACAAAAAACATGTTTCATTTGTTGATTGCATTTAAAGCAACGAAAGAACCGTTTGAAAATAAATGAATGTTAAAAAATCAGTAGCACGGTTGATCAATTTGGAGGGTTGGTACTGGTCGTTGAGAGCGCGGTGTGACGTTTAATCATGTGAAAACTCAAAGCATTGATTGAACAATTCCATTAATGCATATATTGAACGGTACAATGTTTTTGGTGATTGTAAAATATACAATTTTGATGTGGGTATTGCGAGGGGCTTTATTTTAAAATGTTTTTATGCGTTGGTAACGAGATGCGTTTTATTTTATTCTGTTTGATGTGGTTAAATACAGGAAATGCTTTTTGGGGTATTGACTGATGTGCGGGGAATTAGGGATGTGGGGATTTTGGGAGATGGGGATGGGGATTTGGGGGTAGGAAATTTGTGGATTTAGGGATTTAGGAATTTGGAGATTTGGGGATTTTGGGAATGTGTGGATTTGGAGATTTAGGAATTTCGCGATTTGGGGTTTTTGGAATTTTGGAGGTTTTTGGGATTTGGGGATTTTTGAATTTAGGGTCTTTAGAGTTTTGGGGGTTTTTCGAATTTTGAAATTTTGAGATTTTTGGAATTTGGGGTTTTTGGGATTTGGGGTTTTAGGGATTTGGGGTTTTTGGGATTTGTGGTTTTTGAGATTTGAGGTTTTTGGGATTTGGGGTTTTTGGGATGTGGAGATTTTGGAATTTGGGAATTTGGGAATTTGGGAATTTTGGAATTTGGGGTTTTAGGGATTTGGGGTTTTTGGGATTTGTGGTTTTTGAGATTTGAGGTTTTTGGGATTTGGGGTTTTTGGGATGTGGAGATTTTGGAATTTGGGAATTTGGGAATTTGGGAATTTTGGAATTTGGAGATTTTAGGACTTTGGGATTTGGGGTTCTGGGGATTTGGGGATTTGCGGATTTGGGAAATTAGGAAAATAGGGACAAGGAGATTAGGATTTGGAGTTTAGAATATTTATAATTTGGAAATTTGGGAGTTTGGAGACTTGAAGATTTAGAGATTTGGGGATTTGAAGTATTGTAAATTTAGGAGTTCCAAAATCTCAAAATCCTATAGACCCAAATCCCAAAGTCCCCAGAACCCCAAATCCCAAAGTCCTAAAATCTCCAAATCCAAAAATTCCCAAATTCCAAAATCTCCAAAACCCCCAAAAACTCCAAATTGCAAAATCCCAAAATCTCCAGAACCCCAAATCCCAAAGTCTTAAAATCACAAAATCCCAAAATTCGCAAATCTCAAAATTCCTAAATTCCAAAATTCCCAAATCCCAAAATTTCCAATCCCAAAATTCACAAGTCCCAAAATTCCCAAATCCCAAAATTCCTAAATCCCAAAATTCACAAGTCCCAAAAATTGTAAATTCCAAAAGCCCCAAATCCCAAAATCCCAATATCCCAAAATCTCCAAAATTCCCAAATCCCAAAAATCCTAAATTCCAAATGGCCCAAATCCCAAAAACCCCAAATCCCCATCCCCCAAATCCCCATCCCCCAAATCCCAAAAACCCCACAAATCCCAAAAACCCGAAAAACTCCAAATCCCAAAATCCCCAAAAACCCCAAAAATCCCCAAAATCCCCCAAAATATTTCATTAGCAATAAAAATCATTCATCATAAAAGTCATGAAAACTCCCCTTCATAATCCAGCTCCCTATTAAACACGAATACCCAGTCGCCATAAGGTAGAGGTTAGTCTCATTACAAGCAACCAAAGCACGTGAATCGTTGAAGTTTTGTTAGTTATTTACGTAATCAATTCCTATGTCTAGCAGCAATAACGTTGCACGTTTCCGAGGGTAGACGTTAAATACGATTATGCTCGCCACGGCTGTAATCTGCTGGAAAATATTCGAACCACGAGCAGTTAGAGTGTGATATAACCAGAACACGATTTCAGCTTTACAGAAAACTACGAAAAATGTATGCTAGGAATTTAATTGGATAGCGTAAAGAACGATGTAAGTCATGTAATTACGTTTTAAAGAAACACGCTATTAAATTCTGTGAAATTGTAAAAATTGTACGAGACTGCAATAAAGAATAAAATATTTTTAAAAGAAATAATTATTTTTCTGTTTTGTGAAGAGCTATATGTGGAGATTTCAAGAATATTGTAGTGCAATGTTTATTAATATTTTATAAATTGTAGGAAGGGTTTACAACTACTTATTTAATTGTAACTAATCAATTTTTTGAACAGGTTTTATAAATAATCTCATTTTTTAATAATTTTTTAAATAATCTGTTTTTGATATAATATTATAAAAAATCTATCTATAACATAATTTTGTAAATAACCTATTTATAATATAATTGTACAAATGATACATTTATAGAATAATTTTATAAAAAATTTGAAACATTATATAAAATGACATTATTTAGAATTTGAAATAAATTTATATTTGAAATAATTTAATTTATTATCCAGCACCCGTTTAAAATCTCATTCAAAAGCTTTAAATGTGATTAGTCTTTTTTATATCTTGAGCAGCGGAGCAAATAAATGTTGCACAAGTGTAATTCATTACTTTGATTAATTGTATCGCGTAACACATAACGAAACGTAAATCGTTGAAGAGGTAAAAAGTCGCAGCGAAAACTAAGTCACACGTTAAGAAATAATTGCCACCCATTTCTCTAGACAATCGCATTACATTCCTAGTTTGTTTTGCAGTTAACATATTACAAAGATTATTTTTTCCATTTTCCTTTCCGAGCGTAAAAAATGTTGCAGCTTATCGTATAATTTTTCGATTAATAAAAGAAAACCACTTTTTTGCACTGGAACAATGTAACGTGTTCTGTGCTTTGGATTATGAATATTTTAAAATAGTTGGAACGTCTGGATCAGGATGCATACATTTTTAAATTTGTAACTCTCATAATTTTTCAAATTTTCAAGATTTTATGTTTATGAATGTTTTATGGGATCTAAATACTTAAATGGAGAAAGTTGCAAATTTATATACTTCTGAAAGTTTAATCATTTTTAAATTGTTAAGTTTTTACATTCTTAAACTCTTGCATTTTCGAAGATGCAATTTTTAAGTTATTATTAAACTTCTAATATTAATACGAATCATTAAACTTCTAAATCTTCAAATCCCAAATTAGCCAATTTCTGGACATCCTAGATTTTCTAAGGCTCTTTATTTTTATATCTATGTATTTTTATAACTCTATATTTTTACACCTCTGTATCTTTATAACACTGCACCTATACATATAACTCTATGTCTTTGAAAATCTATATCATTATAACTCCAAAACATTATAACTCTATATCCTTATGACTACATCTAAATCTTTATAATTTCATATCTTTAACTTTCCAAATCCTTAAATCTCTAAATCCTCATATTCCAACATTTTCAAGTTCATAAATTTCTGAATCCTTAAAACTCCAAATCCCTAAATCTCCAATTTCTTAGATTCCTAAATTTCCAAATTCCAGAACTGTTAAATCTCTAAATCCCTAACTCTGCAGTTTCCTAAACCCTCATATTCCTAACTTTAAAAAATCTCTAAATCTCCAAGTCCCTAAATTTCCAACTTCCTTAATTCCCAACTCCCTAAATTCCCAATTCCTTAACTTCCTAACTCCGTAAATTCCCAACTCTCTAAATTTCCATCTCCCTAAATTCCCATCTCCCTTAATTCCCAACTCCCTAAATTCCCATCTCCCTTAATTCCCAACTCCCTAAATTCTCATCTCCCTGAATTCCCAACTCCCTAAATTCCCAACTCCGTAAATTCCCAGCTCTCTAAGTTTCCATCTCTTTTAATTCCCAACTCCCTAAATTCCCAACCCCCTTAATTCCCAACTCTCTAAATTTCCGTCTCTCTTAATTCCAAACTCCCTAAAATCCCAACTCCCTAAATTCCCAACCCTCTAATTTTCCAACTCCCTAAATTCCCAACTCCCTCAATTCCTAACTCCCTAAATTCCCAACTTTCTAAATTTCCATCTCCCTTAATTCCCATCCCCCTTAATTCCCAACTCCCTAAACTCCCATCTCCCCTAATTCCCAACTCCTTAAATTCCCAACTCCCTAAATTCCCAACTCCCTGAAATCCCAACTCCCTTAATTCCTATCTCCCTTAATTTTCAAACTCCTAAACAACCCAATACATAATTTCCCAAATCCCCAAACCCCAAACCCCCAAATTCCCAAATCCCCAAATCCCCAAATCCCCAAATTCCAAATCCACATTCCGAATCATCAAAGCCCCAAATTCCTAAATTCCTGAACTCCCCAATAAAAAAACGTCAGAATTCTAAAACAGAAACCCGATGCTCGGCCAAAGCAAATATTTACGTAAGTTATAGCATAACAATGACCAGGACTATTGTAAACAATTCTTGTATTTTCAACGAACTGAGTGGAATATCAACCAAACGAGAGAGTAGATATCGAGTTTTATTCTGATGCATTTCAACATCGTTTCGTTGACAATGTAATTAATTACATACATTTTATTACATTCCAGCACCGCAAATGCACCTCACAATTTCGCAGCGGCGTTTAATCAATACCTATGGTATGCATCTAACACAATTAATTATCTTGGACGTTGAAAATGTTTTAAACGTTTTGGTCATATAGAGTACTGTACGTATATATACGATTTCAATGATTTTATAGAAATCTCTCAAACAGAGGAGTACTTATCACAGGAGTACTTACTATAGAAAAGAACAAAAGTCTGCTTAAATAAATGTGCAAAAATATGAAAATAATAATATTAAAATTATATGTTATTTTATCTTAACTTTTGCATTGCAAAATTTTCTTATTACACTTTTGATGAAATTTGTCATGTTTTGGGGTAAATAGCTGTGTCGAAATTGCTGCTTCAGTATTCCAATATTTTTCAGGTTCGTATATTTTCCAAATATTTTTCCAATATGAGGAACTTGTTTTTTCCAATATTTTTGCAAATATTTTTTAAATGCACTTAACGGAGCTCTGACAAAATTTGAAAAATCTAGTGGACGTAGTAAAACTAGTAAATCTACTAAAGCTGGTAAATCCACCAAAGTTAGTAAATCTAATAAATCTAATAAGACTAGTAAATCCATCAAAGTTACTAAAACTAATAAATCCATCAAAGATAGTAAATTTAGTAAATCCGCAGAAATTAATAAATCTAGTTTTACTAAAGGTTTAAACGGTAAATTTTGGTCGCGACAAGGGGAGTCAAGAAGATGGAAGGTGAAATGGCGAGCGAGCGGATGAGAATAGAAACGAAAGGGTTAGCCTAACCCTTTTACTTACGCACCTGCACATCGTACAATTCGAAACGCCCCCTGCACTTCCGGGTGCAATTAGTCACAGAACGATCTGAACAGTTGCACGTTCTCGTCAAGGGAAGTGGGTGAGAATTGGAGAAATGGTGTATCGGGCAAAGAGCGGACGAAGGAGAGCCAAACGAGCAATTCGTACGAGAGCAGCGAACGGCAATTAACGTACACTCTTCCTATTCTCCTCAGAAATTGTTACATAAAAGATCCCTAGTTGTACTATTTACTGCTGTCAAAATTAATTTTTATTTAAGTAAAAACACTTTCACTCTTGAAAATATAACGTAACCTCACTTTTGAAGATCCTCAATCAACGCTTTTTAATTTTAGCAATTTTTATTTAAAAAGATTGATAGAAAACTTCTTTATAGAAAATATTGATAACTCAATCTCAAAAAGGTACACTTAACGTCATATATTATTATTAATTTATTTTTATTAATATTTATAAACACTTTCATTTTCGAAATTTCAACATAACTTTACTTTTGAAGATCCTCAATCAATGCTTCTTAATTTTAGCTTTAACTTAATTTTTATTTAAAAAGATTGATAGAAAACTTCTTTATAGAAAATATTAATAACTTAATCTTAAAAAGGTAAACTTAATGCCATATATTATTATTAATTTGTTTTTATTAATATTTATAAACACTTTCACTTTCGAAATTTCAACATAACCTTACTTTTGAAGATCCTCAATCAATGCTTCTTAATTTTAGCTTTAACTTAATTTTTATTTAAAAAGATTGATAGAAAACTTCTTTATAGAAAATATTAATAACTTAATCTTAAAAAGGTAAACTTAATGCCATATATTATTATTAATTTGTTTTTATTAATATTTATAAACACTTTCACTTTCGAAATTTCAACATAACCTTACTTTTGAAGATTCTCCATCAACGCTTCTTAATTTTAACTATTTTTATTTAAAAAGGTTGATAGAAAACTTCTTTATAGAAAATACCGATAACGTAATCTTAAAAAGGTAAACTTAATGCCATATATTATTATTAATTTGTTTTTATTAATATTTATAAACACTTTCATTCTCGAAATTTCAACATAACCTCACTTTTGACGATCCTGAATCAAAGCGTTTTAATTTAACAAAAGGTTAATAGAAAACTTCTTAATATCATATATTATTGTCAACATGATCTGAACTATAAATATTATATATTGTTAATAATTTTTATTTTACTTCAACTTAAACAATTATTTATTTTGATGAAAGACATATTATATCAAGAATGACTGTTATAGAAGAATACTTTATTAAAGTTAAAGAAATCTTTATTATGTCTTTAAAAACTTCAGAAAAATTAACCTTTTTTTAATATGCTTTTTAATGCTTTTTTTTACAATAGTAAAGTCATCAATTCATACGTTGCTATATTTTAGACAGAATATGTTTCGAATTTTTATTTCGTCTTCAAACAAAATGGCTTTGAATAATGACCTCTTCCTCATCCTTCCAGTTGTTTTACTACTGCTATCTGCGCCATTTTTGAAAGTACATCGTTTAGTGAACTAATTCTGGCTCCACGAAAAACTCGTGTCGTTTGGTCAAGGTTTAAAAAAGTTCTCTTTTAAATGATACATATTTTTGACGAGCTTCTGAGATATATTTCGTGTTCTAAATTTAAGTTTCATAAAGAAAAAAATTAATTAAAACCATCCACTTTGTAATTATGATATTTTAAGGTATTTTGTGTACTTTTTATCAATCTTTACGAATTTATATTTCAAAATGTAGAGGTTAATATTACAATTGTCATAGTAATTTTTTATTGCTCTATAACAGAAGTGCAAAAAATAAATATTCAACGTTGCAAATAAGCGAGACTGATGAACAAGCAAATAAACGAAAATAGAAGTCATTCTTTAATTTCACGACACTATGTCCATATTAAATTTTGTACACGTTCCACGTAATTTTAACAGAAATGTCGTTTCACTTTTTCCATTTGTTACATTTATGTTACGGTTGTAATATGTATTTATATTGCGAAATTATGAGGCAATAAAATTTTAAACAAATTATAAATGAGCTTGATGATGTCAAGCTAAATAATTTCCCAGAATAATCAGCTATTAATTAACAACAGCGAATTAATTATTAAATATATCAATTTTGTATAAAAATAAAGCATCAAAGTATTAATATTAACCCCATATGCATAACAGAAATGCAGAAGCATGAATGGAAATTAGAACTACAAATTGATAGTTTGATCGATCGTCGAAAAATTTAATTACCTCGAAACTGACGATGTGTTATTCACGAAGAGTTCGAAATAGCCACAGCAAATGTATCATTCCGTAGGTGTTAAATTTTTGATGGAGGAAACTGCCATGTAATATTGGAAGCGATCGAAATAGGAGTCACTAACTGAAGAATAACTGCCGATTCTTTGCCTAACAAGATCAATTAAACAAACGGTACTAAAATGGTTAAACTCTGTCAGTTAAAAATATTCTGCAAAATTAAAAGAGAAAAGTGGAACTAATTTAAAATAGGCGGATCTCTGTCAGATACTTTCCGACATTTTTATTCGAGTTCCATGTACCAATGAATATCGAAGCTCAATTTAACTTGTTTTGATCTGGGAATCGCGCATTCATTAAAATAGCTCTACACCTCCGAGTGGTACCGACTTTGCACCATTTGAGGTGTACAATCTGTGAATTCCACGTTCGATATATGTATTTCACATATCGTATTCCTAAAATAAACTTTCATTTCCTGTGATTATTTCAGCTGTCCATTTCCTCATCAGTTCCGCGGCAATTCTCAACTGCCACTGAAAGTGTAAACCCACTTTTGTCCAGGTCACATCGGCCCGTTTTGAAAGAAATATCTTCCGTCCCCATCAAACAAGTACACGAACGTAATACAAGTACAATAAAACGCCCCATCCAACTGCTCCTACTGCCCAAACACCCACCGCATCTAGTTTCGCAATAAAGATCCAGATGCAATCAGAGAAGCAAGCGAGACGTCTGTCACGCTTTTATTCCCCCGGTAAAAGGACCAGATGAAACATGCTCCTCGCCAGGAACAAAATGGCAATATGCGAGGAACCGGGTCGGAAAGTGACAATGTGAACGGAGAACACAGGTGTATTCGGGCAAAGGCAAGTACACCCACGTGTGTCGATGCAGTCTTATTACGGCGGGTCCAATGGGAGACGCTATTGAAGATGTACAGAAGCATGGACTTCTCGCGTCTGGAAAGAATCGACCTGATTTAGTGGAACCACTATGATAACAGTGGTATATGAACTTTTTGCTGAATCTTATACATCACTGCAAATGAATAACATTGTCAGACATGTGTTTGTTATCGAGAGTTTATTTGAGAGCTTAAATGCATAGCAAGTGGGATATCTTGGTTAATATATTTGGACAACAAGATTATTTACTAATTGATATATTTATAGCAATTTACAAGTTGCTCAGTTTCTACAAGGTATTTTAACAAATCTTCAAGTTGCTGTAAGTCTTTAAAAGTCAGAAAGTTAGGAGGATGTCAAACCTTGATTGTACTCTTATTAAATAAGCAAGATTATATAGAATTTGCTAAACTAACAGCAACTCATAAATTGCTCTGCTAATAGCAACATTCAACATCACATCAATTGAGATGAAAACACAAATGTGGTTTGTCAGATTTGAACTATGGTGTGCGTCATGAGTGGAGCAAGATATAAAATAGTAAGGGGTTGAAGATTAGATGCGTAGCATGTCTCACATTGACCACATTCTTCCTAAGTGAACAAGACTATATGTAAATTGCTAAACTAACAGCAACTCATAAATTGCTCCACTTATAGCAACATTAAACATCACATCAACTGTGATGAAAACACAAATGTGGCTTGTCAGATTTGAACTATGGTGTGAATCACAAGTGGACTAGGTTATAAAATAGTAAGGGGTTGAAGATTAGATGAGTAGCATGTCTCACCTTGACCACATTCTTCCTAAGTGAACAAGACTATATGTAAATTGCTAAACTAACAGCAACTCATAAATTGCTCCACTTATAGCAACATTCGACATCACATCAATTGAGATGAAAACACGAATATGGCTTGTCAGATTTGAACTATGGTGTGAATCACAAGTGGACTAGGTTATAAAATAGTAAGGGGTTGAAGATTAGGTGAGTAGCATGTTTGACTACATTGCTCCTAAGTAAAGAAGTCTATAAATAAATTGCTAAACTAACAAGAACTCCTTGTTCCACTTACAGCAACATTCGACATCACATGAACAGCGATGAAAACACGAATGTGGCTTGTCACATTTGATCTACGGAGTGCGTCAGGTGTGGATCAGGATATAATAGAGTAAGGGTTTGAAGATTAGATGGATTATGTTTCTAGGGAATGATTTGCTCTCGGCTCTACTTACCCTCGTGCCAGTTTGATAGGGAATTTGTGCCTCCTGCTTCGCGACGCCACATCACCGTCGGTTCTGGGGTACCCGTCGCGGCGCATCGTAACGTCACGTTGCTCCCCTCTCGCACCACCATGTCCGTGCTAGTAGGGTAGTCCAGGATATCCGGAGGTACTGAAACAATGACCACATTGCAACGGTGCTAGCCCGCCTCCCTCGTGTACACACGTACGGTCACGTTCGACTGTGGCACCGCTCGCTCGGATAGATGGCTATGTAACCAGCGCCGATGTCTCGCTGAACATTCGCAAATATTCCACGCTAGCGCACCAGGAAGCATGCTGGTCTGGCCAGCGGCGAACACGAACTCGTTCGGTTGTTCTGGACACAGGAATCTGAACGTAAAACCTCGAATCACCTGAATAATCCCGAATTCCCCCGATCGGTGCCGCGGTCAAACGTGCTCAAACGCACCACATTATTTTTGCGCACGGCAAAATTGCTATTATACCGTTCGATTCGGGAAACGCATTTGGACGTCATCATCTCGCTGTGGAGGGTGAGTCTCACTTGTGGGGAATGGAAGGAATTTATCGCGATGTGTTATTCGTCTTAATTCGGTTGGATGAATGTATCTGTATGATGAATATGATGGATGTGTAAGTACTACATGAAGAACACATTAATGGATAAAAAATGTTGCACCTAAATTAAGTATCATTGTTTGTCTTAATTCGTTTGTTGGATGAATGTATTTGCATGATGAATATGAAGGACATATGAGTAATGCGTGAGGAATATATGAAGGGTATGTGAACAATATGTGAAGAACACATGAAGAATAGATGAAAATATTACACGTAGATTAAGAGACAGTTATGTGAGGAATATATGAGGAATAAATGAAAAACGTTGCACCTAAATTAAGAGACAGATATGTGAGGAATATATGAAGGATACGTGAACAATGTGTGAAGAATGCATGAAGAATAGATGAAGAATATTACACCTAGAGACCTAACAGTTGACACTGATCTGGTTACTGGTATTTCTGTTTTTCCTATAAATTGTACCTAATCTTATTCTTTTATTTATTGTTTGTCAAATAACATAAAAAATAAGTTAATTGATTAAATCACCTAGATATAACTGAAATAGTTCATATGTTACTACATGGTGTCAATAATTAAAGATTTATATACATTTTTATATAAATTTGTTTGACAGAAAATGGTCCAAGAAAATAAGAAATTAAAATTGTGTAATTGACATATACATTGTTAAAAATTTTATTAACAACTGTTTTGTTTAAAGTGTCCATAATTGAATACAGCCCTCATTTTTTTGTATAAACCAAAGTCAAAGTATAAAAAAGAGATTCCAAAATTAACAGAGTAAAATATCAAACGAATAAACACAAAGATATTACAATATCAAAACCAGAAATTGTAAAGTATTAAAACATAAATTAAACGTCAAGCTTGAAGCAAAAAGCTGATACTTTTTGTGGCGATGGAGAATACAGAAATTTAATCAAAATATGATTAAACGTATATGTACATTCAACGTTCATTTTGTAGAAAATGACCTAACCTCAACCAACTGTGAACATAACCTATTGTAGATTTTTCTGATCTTTGCTTTGATTAGGTGTATATTCTTTTTCTGTGCATAAAAGCTGACTGCTGTAGATGCAAATGTCTGATATTGTCACGGTGTAACGAAGGAGCGAAAGATATTACAAGGATCTGGTTTATGTAAATTTGTATTCTGAAACTTGAAACTTGGCTGCATCTTGATTCTTATATTATCTGTTACAGAAAATATTAATTTAAATAATCAATGTTTTAACATCAATGTTCATCTTTGATTTAATATTAGTTAATATATATTTTTATTTGAGGTTAATATATTTTATTTGTATCGAGATACTGTTTATCATTATAATCTGACTAGTATTTATTTTCATTATTTCATTTTTAAATTAATCTTTTTATGATGAAATTGTATTCCTCTACACAGCAATTCTATTAATAAATATTTTCAGTAAAAAAGTGTTGGATTATTATCTCAAATGTTAATAATTTGTGAGATATTCTAAATTTATATGTGAAATATTTTACATTTAAAATATGCTTGAATATTTCATTTATTTGAATTGTTGAGCTTGGACTTCATATTTTAATATTTATTTATATGAAATATTCTGTAGAAAAAATATGTATATATTCACATTTAAAACAATCTAAAATTGTGTCAATCTATCAACTCTTTCTAACCTAATCTCTACAGTAACTCCTCTTTGAAAATTTTATTTCTTTCCAAAAATTAACACTTATTGTCCCCTACATCGCATGTTCATAATCTCCCCGTTTATTAACAACTGTAAGTAGCAATAATTTTTCCTTGAGAATCTCCAGTACAAGCCCTATTCTTTCAGAGTTATGTTCCAGCGTTTCATCACCTAGCCAAAGTAGCAGTGCGTCCCCAAACTCCTGATGAAACTGGCTATAGTATCAGAGAAATGGCGGAACATAACTCTGCGAGGATTTATACTCGAGAACCTGAAGAAAGAATCATTATAGCAACGAAAGTCTCAAAGTACTTGCTTGAAATATCGTTTCATCATTTTCGCATTTCCGGAATTTGTAATTTATGCGACATCGTACGCAGCATTTTTTCATTTTGTAACTCATTTGAGAGACAATCACATTTCTATATGGAATCCTTGGTATCGTGTGATTTATTTTTAATGGAATTTTGAATCATTTGTCATGGGAGTCACATTCTCTATGTAGAATATTTCATCGATTTATAATAATAATTCGTAATAACAATTTTCATAATAATAATAATTCATTGTTCATGACAAGTCATAATAATTTTTCTGTGACAAAAATAGTGTCAGAACATCTACTATCATAGCATGCACTATAGCACCTAGTAAGTGCACTTAGCACTTAATAAATCTCATCAAATCATATTACAAATGTCCTATACATAGATAGTTCCTTTAAAAATCACCAAGTTTCTTAAATAATCAAATTCAGTTAAAAGAAACAGCAAAAATTGTGCACCTAACACCTCATCTCATCAAATCATATTACAAATCTCCCATACATAGATAGTTCCTTCAAAAATCATCAAGTTACATAAATCATCTAATTTAACTAACAAAAACAGCAAAAATTGTGCACCTAGCACCTAATCTCATCAAATCATATTACAAGTCTCCCATACATAGATAGTTCCTTCAAAAATCATCAAGTTACATAAATCATCTAATTTAACTAACAAAAACAGCAAAAATTGTGCACCTAGCACCTAATCTCGTCAAATCATATTACAAATCTCCCATACATAGATAGTTCCTTCAAAAACCATCAAGCTACATAAATTAACTAATTTAACTAACAAAAACAGCAAAAATTTATCTCAAATTTACAGACGTACGTTTTCCTAAAAAAAGCTTGCGCTCTATTAGATTATTTTTGAGGTTAGGTCGTCCTTAAATGTATATAGATTATAGTTAACGTCCATAACACATGCTATTTTAACACGTTTGATCCTAGGTAACAGGTGCAGCTCGGACGCGATAAGGAGAGCTCGTAAATTAAACCATTAAGAAGCAGCGTCCATTGATGTCACAGTGTTCACGACCGCGTGCTGCGTTCCGCTTTAGGCTTCCATTTTGATATGTTGCATACATTCGTACTCTGCGAAATCATTTCTTTGCGCGAGGTTCTTATTTCTTCCTATATTTTCTTGAGTGCTGTTTCAGGGATCGGATTTCGTGTACTTTTACGGTTCAGCGAATTTTGCGATCTTTCAAAGATGGCGTGTGTGAAAGTTGTGTATATGTGATTGTGTCTGAATGTGGCTCTTACAGTTATGTAGCTGTACATATCATTTCGAGAGGATTTATTATTATTTATGTAATGAGAGGACTTAAAGTATTATTTACGTGTAATTGTACAAATATTTAGAAGTATTTAGTGATATTTATCTGGAAATTTTAAACAGTTGAAGCAAGCTACTTTGATAAAAATGTTTGTCATATATTATTAGGTTATTTACATTATTGCATTATGAATGTGGATTTAGATTGTAGATTATTATTAATATAGGTTAGTTACTTTATGTAATGTTAGGTGATAATCTGAAGGCTATTATAGAGGTACTTAACCTTCACAACTCTAATTAGGTCTCTATATTAGTGCTTCCCTCTAGGCTACACTTTTCATTTTCCAAACTAAACACTTCCCTTCGACCAAAAAATTATATTTTCATGAATTTGCAATTAAAATTTAATGATTTCTTCTGTCTATGAAATTACACATTCAAATGAGATTTTTCGACGTTGTGACTGAAATTTTCACCTCGCTGAAAGCTAAGTAATTAGCAATGCCTATAATGTTTCATCAATACGTGCTCCAGTTTCTTAAAAGTAAGCCTCGTAATATGTGGTAACGAAAATGAATGAAAAAGTCATTTTGTATGGGAACAATGAACGCCATTATGCTGGTAAATTTTCGTTAACCTTTATAAAGAGCTTCGAGTGTTACCATTGTGCACTAGTAACGAATACCTTCAGAATTTCATGGAGTTCGATATTTGGGGTCACAAGAATTAAACCTGAAACTTCATCTTATAATTCAAAAGTAAAATTTGAAAATAACTAAAACATGATATAATTGCATTTAAAAAGGTAAAAATATATTATACAAATATTCGATTTGACGATACATTTTATATTAAAATTCAGTGACACTCGCAATAATGTTGTTTTGATATTTTACTTGAAAAATCTACAAAAATTCATGTTATACATATTTTATACGCGGAATGCTTTACACATAAATTGTGAAGTCGCTTTTCCGGAAACCTATTTACATAAGCAAATTTGTTAAAATATGTTAAAAATCAGGCTATAAATATGCAAAACCTTACATTATGATTTATATTAAAAATGATGTGTAGTCTCTCTTCGTGCACTTCCATCATCGCGCGTGAATTCTATGTAATATTTTCTACCGATTTAACCAGCGATGCAATAATAGCCAAAGCTTCAAATTTAACAAACTAAGAATAACTTGACCGATTAAAAATAACGCGAAGCTTTCGTTAATTTCGTCTTTATTCGTCGCGAAGAATCAGTAGTGTAGTTAGTCATT